CTCAAGCCCAGGAAGTTCAATCACACCACTCTCTCCCAGGAGGACACGAAGACAATTCATGCGATGATTCACAACGCCAATCTCAATTGGTGTAAATTTGTGATGACTCACATGTTCACGGCCACCTCCGACAATCGGCCGCTCCCCTACGCCCTCCTTGTCATGGCGATTCTTGAAGAATATAACATCAAAACCGATGTTGGGCCAAAGATAAAGGGGACAAAGCATTGGGAGATTGATGAATCCTCTTTCCACTCGGGCACCGACGAGACTCCGTTTCGACAGCCTCGTCCACGCCGCCAACTGAGAGCCACTGCCTCAGCCGCCACCACTTCGACCAATCCTTCTCTCGCCGAGCAAATGGAAGCCTTAACCGCCACTCTCTCTCGGATTGACACCAACGTCTCCAAAACGGCACACAACGTCAATACCTTGAGCCGTGAACTTCACGGGTATTTTGACTTTGTCAATTACCCATACGCTCAAATGGTCCCTTACGTTCCTCCACCGAATTTCGGAGGTGAACAAAGTGGGACTCAAAACGTTGGTAGAGATGACGAGGTGGACGATGAGGAAGAGGAAGAAGAAGAGGAAGAAGAAGAAGAAGATGATGATGATGATGGTGATGGTGATGCTGATGAAGAAGAAGAAGAAGACATTGACGAAGAACAACTTCTCAATGATCTTTCCCCGGATTTCTAGAGCTCTAGCTCTACTTTCTTCTCTTCCTTATTTTATCATCTTTTAATATGCTTTCGTTATGTACTCCGCTATTTCCCTTAATTAATTAATAAAAAATCTTTATGATCTTTGTTGTTAACAATCTTTTTGTTAATGTCAAAAGGGGGAAGATAAGGGCTATGCATATATTAAGGGGGAATTTTTTAAGGGGGAATTTTTTTCAAAAAGATCAAAACCCGATGCATATCCCCGTCTTGTTTGCCATTATCAAAAAGGGGGAAATTGTTGGAACACACTTTGTACGATAAACTAAAGTCGTGTTCATTTCTGACAGGTTTTGATAATTGCCAAACCTTCGTGGATATAAAGAGTTTCGTTGAATAACTCAAGGCGCGAAGAATGGCTTGGAACAAGACCTAAAAGACTCAAGGACAAGATCAAGAATTGAAGACTTAGTCGAGTCGGTCTTTTGTGATCAAAACCGACAATAAATTCAAGTCTCGGTTCTCAAAAAGTCAAAACAATTTTTACAAATCACAAAATATTTCTTGTGCATCAAAACAAACATTTTTTTCCTTTCATTGTTAAAATCCCTGGTCCTTGCTCAGAACCAAAACCACCTAAGTCGGCGTTCGGCTTTCGACGTTCGGCTTTCGGCGTTCGGTTTTTTGTGCCCGAACCAACTTCGTGGTTTTCAATTTTTTAAACCCTGTTTTTACCTCTAAGCATTTTTAAAATGTTCCCAAATAATTATTTTATAAAAACCACTTTTGTATCTTGGTCAATCGGTCTAACACGTGAAAAACGATCTAAACCGTACGTACGTATTATATGACCTTGGAGACTTGGTTTTTACCAAACAAGTCTTGTTTTCACAATTTAATACCATATACAATATTTCCAAACCTGGTTTTTACTTTTGGGAACACTTCATTTTTGGACCTCGGTTTTTCAAAACGGGTTTCAGCTGGCTAGACTTTAGCTGGGTGATAATCGATTATCACCCTAGTGGCAATCGACTATCAGCCCCTGCAGCTTTGAACTTCTAAAGTTCTGAAGCACGCAATAATCGATTATCAGCTTTGCAATAATCGATTATCAGTCTTTGCAGCCAAAACCTAGAATCTTCTGAGAGGACCAATAATCGATTATCACTTGTTGACAATCGATTATCTGGGTTACCGTTGTCCTCCAACGGATAGAATTTTAAATTTTTGGACAGGGAATCTTTGGATAATCGATTCTCATGCTTTGACAATCGACTATCAGCCTGTGTCCCTGAAAAATTTGTCTTCATCCTGTTGGAAATTCTAGCAACGGGTTTATCCTATTTTGGACTATAAAATGGCACCCAAATCCTCTCATTTGACACACAATTATTCAACATTTCAATACTCCTTCATTGCATAAGCATTCCTGTTTTTTTCTTAGCTATTTGAGAGCCAATTCTTGAAGAAATTGTCGTGTTTTTGAGCGTTTACTAGTTTACTCATATCTACTCTTTGTGAGAGTTTTATTCCTAAGTGTTTAAGTGTTTTCATATACTTTAAGGGAGGTTGTTCCCTTGTTGTAAACTCGAAGGAAGTTCCTTGTTCCTTCGTGAGAAGTCTTGGAGTGCGGTATCTCCGAGCAAAGGTGTTGAGGCTCGTGTGACTCGGGTTCTCAAGTTGTATCGGTTTGTTAAGCACCCTTAAGCTTAACGGAGTTAGTGTAGCTCGAGAGAGTCTCTCGGGGGGCTGGAT